TAAGATTAAAGTGAATAAACATTGAGGTATTCATGTTAAACATTTCCATAGAACAACTTGGTTATTATTCAAACATATTGACTTAAAGCAAACATTCATTCACAATCTTATGAGCACAATGAGGTGCTCATTTCTTTGCACCTCACCTTCTCAAGCTGGCCCCAATCACTTCCCACCTTCCTCTCCCCATACCTTTGAGCACATGAACCCTACAGGAGGGCGAGCTAACCTGGAAGGTCACAAAAATGGCTCCCAGTGGGAGACAGGAAATAATTTTGCAAGAGCACAACTTTTGTTATCAATTGCTCTCTTTCTTTGTGAGCTATTCTCTTGGGGTGAGGAGGGGCAGGCAATCTTGTTTTAATCTCCCTAGGAATTCCTGGTTGCAGCTTTGGTGTGTTGCACTCTGACCATACTCTGCTAAGGATGCTTAGGCTGCTGAGAAAAATGATGATGGACAAAGAGGAGACAGGACACAAATTTGAAAACTTCATATGCCTAAGAAATAAATCATGTTACTCTCAGCAGGAAACTGTTGATCAAAAGAAATGGGTCTAAAGTTATTTGCCAATACATTTGACATTTATAAGGAAAAAATAAGTATATAGGTTATTGTAACTCCACCCAACCACCTACTCAAATGTCTAACAGTCAATAGGCTATTAAAGCCACAGTGAACCCAACACAAAGTCATTCAGTAGATTAAGAGAAAATTCTCCAGAAAAGTGGTCATGTGCTACTCTGCTTATTGGTCCTCCCCTTTCTTAACCACAAGTCATGATTGTGGAGAGATTTTGGGGCTTCTAGAAACTTGACAGGAATTTGACATTGGGCCAGTACAAGGAAGTAGGTTTCAGGCAGGAATCTGACATTGGTTCAGGAAGTAAGCTCAGGCAGGAATCTGATTTTGGGCTAGAATAAAGAAGTAGGCTTCAGGCATGAATTTGACTTTGGGCTAGGATAGGGAAGTAGGCTAAGATATTTTGGTCATCCTTATAAGCATCTAGAAACAGTGATCACAGGATTTTGCTTATTGCCTTTCTTGTTCCTTGACTATTTGTGTTTATTGCCTTGCTTGTTCCTTAACCTAGAACTTACATTATTATCTGCATGCAATTAAAATGGAAAAAAAATAAACACATCTCAGTCTCAGAACTGGCTGTGGTCATGCTACAGTGTTGTCTAATTGTCTTTTTTTTTCTTTTTACTCCTTGCTCCCTCCCTGGAGAACCCATGGACTGAGTGATTTGGCTTGGCCACTTGATTCTTGCAGGGTTAAGTCCTGATTTTGATAGTGATCTGGGAGCTACTTGACTTCATTCACCTTACATTTATTCCAACTTTGTCATTGTTCTGTGCCCCCTCTACCATGACACCTCTCTCCTTTCTAGAGCTGGAGATGAAACGCAGACCCTTACACACAATAGGCATGTCCCCTACCACTGAGTCTCTAACATCTTATAATCATAATCTTCTCAACTTTTTGTCTTCTTTCAAGAACTTTGAAGTCTTTATAAAACATAAATTGTAAAATACTTCTATGAGCAAGAGGAGACAGAAAGATTATGAGAACAAGGAGCAATGGATGACTCCAAAGATACAACAGGACTGATACACATATGAACTCACAGAGATTATGACAGTATGCACAAAACCTGCACAGATTAAAATAGGAGGTAGATATAAAGTCTCATATCTAACCAAGAAGCTATTTGCAACTAATTTACAACTTACTCCTAATACACTGGGAAATGGAGAACTAGTTTTTTTTAACAAAGTGTCACTGGTATATCAACCATACCCCAGAGTATGGCCCCATGTCCAGGAGTAGTGGGCAGATATAATACAAAACAGATCCCATGTTTTGGTGTGTGTGTGTACTTTTTGTTCTGTTTTGATATATTTTTGTATTCCTGGTTTTCTTTCCTTTTTACTATGTTTTTGTTTTTGCTTTTTGTTGTTTATCCTAAGGCTTGTTTGACAGAGAGAGAGAGAGAGAGAGAGAGAGAGAGAGAGAGAGAGAGAGAGATCCTACATCCTTGAAGCCACATTTTATAAGTCCGGTCTGCAATTCTGCTGGCAATATAAATGGTGAAATTTTCCCTTCTCACACCTAGACAAACCTTCATTTTATTGATTTGAAAATACCCGGCCACTAGACCTCTCTGTATCCAAGCATGTCCACACATTCAATTATTATGAAGGAGTGAAAATTGGTACTCCAGAATATCAAACTATAATTTTCAAAAGGTTAATAGTAAAATTATTTTGTGTTTGTTTGTTGAGATAATATCTCACTTCTAGCTTAAGCCCTGAACCCATGATGATCCCTCTTCCTCAGCATCACAAGTGCTAGGATTCATAGCATGACATACTGTGTCTGGATAAAACATAATTCTTCTATGAATACATGGTTAGCATATATGAAAGATTTATTTAACTGGCTGGTTAAGAGACAAACAAGATGGTAAATCTTATGCAAAGAGAGATGCAAAAAAGCAAATTAATGCAGATACAACCAGTGAGACACGTAATAGATTGAAATTATTAAATTAGGTACAAGGTCAGTTAATGTTGCACCAGCCAGTAAAAACATGTGCTTAAAGCTGCTTTCTTTATTGGATATGAATGTACATTATCTCTTCTGGACAGAAAGTATTGTGTAGCATCCTATCAGCTTTCTACAAATCAGTTTCTAATTTCATCACCCCTGAGTCCCTATCAATAGCAGAGAATAACTGAAGTTCTACCCATAGAGGGACACATAGACACTAGTAGGCATTTTTGCTGGCTTTCCAAGTTTTGGATGGATATTGTTAACAACAGGATCACAGAAATAGAAATATTTTATCAAGTAGAATTCCATGATGCCCAAAACATGCCCCAAGTAATGAAGTAAAATGGGGCAAGAAGAGAAGAAAGAGAAAAGAAATCAAGGCTTCAAAGATAGTTTAAACATAGCCTTCTAACTGATGCTGAAGACCAGTGCTGTTAAGAAAATAATAGGGCTTGTCTGACATTTGATTCCTGGTCTCTTGTTGAAGAAGATGTGACTAAGGTCCTTCTGACATGTGTCAGCTGACATTTGGTGCCTGGTCTCTTACTGAAGTAGATGTGACTAGGGTCCTTCTGATGTGATTAAGCTGTAGAAATTGAAAGGCATTTCATCTGATTGGTTGTTTCCTTCCTTCATTAAATTTCTCTTTGTACCTTTATTCCTGTTCCATGCACCATGTTAGATATTGGAGGTGTCACAGAATCAAGAAACACTGTTTCTGTACTCATGTTGTCCACATGTTATAATAACATGTGGAGATATACAAAGGAATGAATAAACATGAAGAATCATTGTGAGTTACAAGAGTGCTATCATTCTATGAAGGAGAGACAGGGAAAGGGGCTAGTTTTGAGTAGGATGGACATTGAGAATTCTTTAAGAATCAGTACTAAGGAAAAGGCTCAAGTGTTTAAAGGGTGTCAGTATGTGCAGAACCAATGTAGGAATGTTTGGGACCCATAAGTGTAGAGACCATAATGCTGAAAAACACCCACTATATTCTAGAACTCATTCAGACTCCAGAGTGTAAGGGCTGGAAACAAAGGAGTGGGTGGTACAAGGAAGAATTGTAAAAACTGAAGAGACAGGTGGCTCAAGATTGTGAAGAGTTCTGTAGACCAAAAGCATTGGAATGTACACTTTTTAAAAATGGAGTCTTCGATGGGTTCTTCAAGTTACTATTTTAAAACCGTGCATTATAGTTGTATATAAAATGATCTTTCCAGAGAATATATTACGGAAAATGTTGGAAGTAGGGAAACCATTTGAGAATTCACTGTAGTAGTTCAGGCATGTTGTAAGACTTGATTCAATGTAATGATTACAGAAATTATGAGCCTTGGGTATGTTTGAACTGCCTTTAGAGATGGGAACACTATGGGTTGATAGATTTGAATGATACAATAAATAAAGGATAGATAGATAGATAGATAGATAGATAGATAGATAGATAGATGATAGATAGATAGACAGACAAACAGTTGGATGGTTTGATGGATAGATAGATTATAGATAAGGTCAGAACACACTCAAGTGGGAGACAAGTTTCTGTGAATTTGAGGATAACCCGTTTTCATAGTAATAGGCCAGTCAGAGATGTATAATGATATCCTGTCTCAACAACAAAAACAAAACCAAAACAACAAGAAGAGTAACTCACAGGTGTATGCTGCTGGTGTAAGCCAGAGCAGCTTTGACTGAGATGAGAAAGACAATGGTACCAGGAATGAAGGGAAGAAGTAATCATGAAATCCATTTTGGAACTGACCACATTCCGATATGGAATGAACTATGATCTAGGCATACCACCCCAGCATGTTGACAGTATGTAAGTATGAGGCTATATGAAATATCCAAAGACAAATGTACAAACCAGAAGCCTCAAATCTGAGAGATGCATGTTTTATACCACAGATAAATTAACAGCATGAGAAACATGTATTATTCATTGCACGTATTTCCTAACTTCCGTTGAAAGTCTGCAGCTAAGTTATGAGTTACATTACTTACATTGCAGTTTTAGTGATTGCTGTATGTCTGTTTGTATTTTATTAGATGCAATTGTAATCAGGTCATTTCAACACACACACTTACACACCTATACACCCACCTACACACACACATCCACACACTCATACACACATCCACATACACACACACACACATTCACATATCCACACACACCCACACATCCACAGACTCACACATTTATACACACAAACACAAACACACACATACCTCACACATATTTTTTGAAAATGTTCCCCATCTGCCATTCAATATTGCTGTAGTCTGAAGAAATAACCTAGAAATAATATTTTTCTTCCATTTGGATTTCAAAAAGCCTGTGTAGAGACCTCTTGCTTGCTTATCAAGAACTTTCTTAAAAGAGAGGGAGGAAAAGGGAAGGCATGGGAAAGAATAGAGGGAAACCATTCCTTACCTCCTCTTCTTCAAGTAGAATGAGTCGAACCACAACAATGTGGACTAGATTTCCAATGCTTGGGTTATGAAACAACCCAGTGACCTGGAGTGAGAAACAGAAAGCATTGGCTTCACATGCAGACAGTGCATACTTGTCAGAGGCATGAATGGCTCCAGAACACCATGTACATAAATACCAAGCCATAGAATATGGATTCTTGGTGCAATTCTGAGAGGACTAAATCTCCGTTCACACTGTAATATTTAAAAATGCCTCCTTCAGGATGATGGGTTGGATGTGTGTGAGAAATTCAAGTATTTTATTCCCAGCTATAGTGATATTATTATTAACAAAGATAAAAAAATGCAAATAAATAAAAGAATGCATTTTTTCAAGTAATAAAATAAGAGTTTCTTTAACAAAATGAGGGTGGTATGAATAGAAACATAAAATGTAATTTTCATTTATAAGACATTGTAGAAAATCCAAAAAATTGTGGCTAGTTGAAAACTGTTTGCATTCATATATCATCAAATAAAAGTAAAAGTCATTTATTCTTTCATCCAAGATAACCTATTTTAAGTTGTGTTTATATCTCTGTTTCGTTACAAACACTTGCCTACACACAGAGTAGACAGTGAGATAGTGTAAATATATATATGTATAATTTGACATATATGACATATATGTATACATATATGACAAATATATATATATATGACATAAATAGAAACACACCAAGTACCTTTTTAAAATTTTTCTGTGATTATTTTTATAATAATTTTTAATTCTCTTCACCTGTGGCATTAGTTTGCATTGCAATTAATTGGCCTTTTCTTTGTTTATTTTTTTCTTTTCTGTTTTAAAATTTAAAATCTAATCACATCATTTCCTCCCTACCCCTCTTCCCTCATGCCCCTTCCATGTCTGACCTCCTAACCCCGAAGTCCTAATCTCCTCCTCCTTAACCATTTTTGTTTCTTTAACCATTGCTGCTGTTTGTATATGCAAGCAAGTCATCATACAACGACAACCCAATGAGTCCATTTAGTGCTGTGTGCACATACATGTTTCTAGGGTTGACGACTTGCTATTATCTAATACCAAGCCAATGTGGGGTCTTATTCCTGGGAAGATGGATTCTCTCTCATTTAGGAACTATTATTTGCCTATAGCTATTTATGACTAGCACTTAAACCTCCCTAACGACACGTGGCTAGTGAGGCCAAGGATTGTAGATGAGATCCTTTTATTGTTACTTCCCTAAACCAATGTGATTCCTAACTGCATCCTTTATACTAACTATTTATCTTTATGTCCACAGAGAAGTGAAGCTCTCAATCCTCATCAAAGAAGCTTCTTTTTGCAGCAGAGACCTTTACATAAAACCACAACTGGTGAAAATGCAGAGAACCATCTGCCATGATTGTCCAACCTCAGTTGATAAGTCTACAGCATAGTTCCTGTACCCAAGCGTCAGGGAACATCTTGGAAAAGATTATAAACCAGAGCACCAGGAAGTCTGCTGTGAGATTGTGTCTTCTTTGATAGGGAAGTTACATCCATGAAATCCCAACTATATGGCTCCCTAAACAAAGCCTTTCTTTTCTTTGAACTTTCCCTAGCCCTGGGTCTTCTTTTCTTTATCAGACAAGCAAGGAATTGCTTTTTGCCATCTCAACAGAATAAGTGACTTGTTTGGAAAGTAAAGTGCAGCCACAATGAGAACAGGGAGGTGGAACTTGGCGTTGCTCCCACTGGAGCTCTTACTAGCCCGAGGAAATCGTGCTCAGTTTCGCTTGCCCAAGTTATCTCATAGATTTAGAATAGGAGAAACTGAGGAGGCAAAAACATTCTAAGGGTATCAAGTCACTTGGCAATTAACTTACAGAAAAATGCAAACAGTGAATTATAAATTTTCCAAGAGTGCGCCTTTTTAAGGAACAGAGTAATTCATCCCAAATTTCCGTGGTTATATACTTAGAAAAGTAATTCACTTTGTGCATGTGTGTGCATGCCTGTCGAGTGTAGGGTATGTGTGTGTTAAAGAACAATGACAAATCCACTTTCTTCTTAAAAGTTGTTTGCTTTTGTCATTTTGAGACAGAATATCACTACCTAGTGTAAGTTACCCTCAGACTTGGACTCCTCCCACACTGGCTTGCCAGATTTGAGGATTGCAGGTTGGTATCACCATGCCTAGCAAAAATACTTTTTTGATGAGGATGAAGTACATTTTAAGGACATCTCTTTGGCCATTTCTGTCCCCTCACGCAGTCTGTCATACCATATTCATGATGGTGAGGATGTACGACTCCACATTCTCACTTCCGTGGTACTCTACCATCTTCGTGTCAGCCACCACGAGGGTCTCCACCCATCTCTCCTTGCTTACGGAGCGTCGGGAGAGACTTCTTCTTGGCAAGTTTTTCCTCTCCCACTTCTCCCGCTGTAGCTCTTGCTTCACAGAATTATCAAGACTGTCTGAACATTAAACAGAAGATGCAGTGAGAAAGCTAATTGTATAAGCCCAATTATTTTGTATGTAAAACATTTACTTATATTTGTAAAAATCCAAGGCTGTGTGTTCAATTTATGCTTAATAACAAGTGAAATGTTCTCATGTATGTTCGTGAAACTGACGATAAGATCAATTTAAATGAACTTGAACAAGATTACTCAAACTGGAATCTTATAAGGAAGTTCAAGAAGTATTTCTGTTAAAATATGACTCATTTCAGTGATTAAGTCATTCACTGTGAGAACATATTACAGTTGGTTATAGTGGGTACACCTGTAATCCCAGTTACCCCAGAAGTTAAGGTGGGAGAATGGCATTTTCAAGGCTATCTCATGCTATCAAAGAGAGTTCCTGTTTCAAAATGAAGTGTTAAAAGGCGAGGGGTATAATTCAATGGTCAAATGCTTTCTTAGAGTGTGTGAAGCTCTGGATTGTGTGAGTTGTGCATTCTCTCTGTCTCTCTGTCTCTCTGTCTCTGTCTCTGTCTGTCTCTCTGTCTCTCTCTCTCTGTCTCTCTCTCTCTCTGTCTCTCTGTCTCTGTCTCTCTCTCTCTGTCTCTCTCTCTCTTTCATGGGAACCTTCTCTTTCTTGTTATTTTTCTCTAAATTATTCAGTGTTTACTATAGACAAGGCAGTAAGTATACTAGGACTTAAATGTCAAATTTTAGCCTCATGAATATTTGACATATATATCCCTCTTTCCATTTTACAAGTGAGAAGGCTGAAGCACTGAACAGCTGGTTAATACATTTCCAAAAATTACGGTGCCCATTCAGTCAGTAAGTGACCCGGGATTTTATGTCTCACCTTAATGCACTTTCACGTTTAATACAGTATCCCTATGGATATAAATTCACATAAAACTGGAGAATATATATACTAGAAAAGTGCAGAAGGCTCAGGGCACTCTGATTCGAGAAACTGAAAAGGATCCAAAGAACCACAGTGACATTAGCAAGGTGACTCAGGCTTCCATGTGAGAAACATTTGGTATGTGAGGATCATGGTCTAGAGAACTTAATCTAAATGAAGCTGTAGATTTTAATAAGGGAAATTAGGAAAAGGCTATATGAAGAAGCCTTGAATGGCAGGATAATGCAAGGATTACTCCAGTAACTTGAGAGAGGTCTACGGAAAATCAAACTGGAATAAAACCACTGCTTCACCGACTGGGAACTGAATGCTCAATCCAAGTGATGGCCAAGTCTAAAACACTAAAATGGACTGTGGACTTAGGCAACTGAGGAAGGATGACTTGATAGGGGACGTGTGCAAAAGGGACTGGGCTGAGGGAGAGGTAAAGACCCAGTTGTCTTAGTTTGGGTTTCTACTGCTATGGTGAATCACCATGACTACAGCAACATGGGAAGGAAAGGGTTTATTTGGCTTATATATCCATGTTGCAACCCATCACTGAGGAAGCCAGGACAGGAACTCAAACAGGTCAGGAACCTGGTGACAAGGGCTGATGCAGAGGCCATGGAGGGTGCTGCTTACTGGATTGGTCAACATGGTTTACTCTGTCTGCTTCCTTATAGAACCCAGAATCACCAGCCCAGGGACAGGACCAACCACAATGGGCTAGATCATCCCCCATCAATCACTAGCTAGGAACATGCCATACAGACTTAGATACACTTTAATCTTATGGAGGGATTTTCTTAATTAAGGTTGTCTCCTCTTGGAAGACTGTCGTTCATGTCAAGTTGACATAAAGCCATCCAGCACATAAGTCTTTGAAGATTCCTCTTAGGAAGACAGTCTGACCGGTCTCTTGCCTGTCCCTTATGGGCATCCCATAGCTCCAGATGGAACAGAACATGAGAGTCAAGGAGCAAACCTCATATTCCCACCCTAATCTCTAGTGATCCACGCAGGCTTGACCAGAGCACTCCCAGTGTGTGAGGAGAACTCACCGGTTCAGGGTATCTTGCTCTGCTGGGAGAGTCTCTTCTGCCATGAGCTAAGACCTGCTTCTCTGCAATTTCTACTCATTAGTGTTTGGAAGCATCTAGCATAAGCTGCCACCTGAGGCTGTGCCTCGTACTTTTAATTGAGACAGCTAAAACCAGCTTCTCAGCTTTCTCCCCAGTGCTCATTATGTTCCTTGGCTTCACTGTGTATGTGATGGTGGTACACATTTAAACAATATTAATACAAGACACAGAGCATCACCAGGTCTAAGTAAGACCAAATCTTATGATTTAAGGCTTTGCTTAAAACTGATCAAACTATACTCTTAGAAAAACAATCCAAGGTTACATAAACATTGTGGGGAGTCCTATGTTTTCTATTTTCTTTCTCTCACTACTTTGCATGGTAAAGTATGGGTTCCTGAAGAAGTCCTGATATGACCAGTGATTCCTAACTTTTCATACCCATGCTTATTCCCTACTCACCTTTCTTCTCTTCTTGGAAGCTCATGAAAATGTCGCAAAATGCTATTTTCAAATTGTGTAAGCCAGGCAGGCATTCAGCCACACGGTCTCCTCTATCTCTTTTCTTTTTTCTTTTCTTTCTTTTTTTTTTTGGAAGAAGCTGTAGCATGGTTGGTTACGTAAAGCAATCCTACCCACAAGGACTAGAGGGGAATACCTTTTCTTGGTTCCTCTTCCCATACTGAAGCAGTAAGCCCCTAAACTGTAAGAGTGCACAGGGTTTTCTACTGAGCTCAAGCATTAGAGTGGCTGACAGAGGAGATTCGTTTTGTTACTATTTTTATTAGAATTAATTAAACATATGTAATAGAAAGTCAATTAGGAACTTTTCATACACTTACATAATTAATTTGATTGCATTTCCCTCCCAAATTTCTTGTCCCCCTCACCCCTACTGATCTACTTCTTCTTCCTAACCAGTCTTTCATCTCATCTTCCCTCCTTCCCTCTCCTGTTTTCCTCTCTCCTCCCCTACCTCTTCCCCTCTCCTCCTCTTCCTTCCTTTCCCTTTCTTTTCTTTCCTTTTTATTATTTTATTAATTTACATTCCAGTAGTTGCCCTGCCCTCTCAGTACCCCCTCCTACAGTTCCTCATCTAGTTCCTTCTCCCTCTTGCCTCTGAGAGGGTATTCTCCTCCACCAGACCTTCCCCTTCCCTGGGGTCTCAAGTCTTTTCCAGAATGAAGGGCATTTTTTTCCTTTTTTTGAGAGAGAGCTGACTATTGTGTGTGTGTGTGAATAGTTCATATTTATAATATTTTAGCACACTGTGTAGCTTTTAGCTACTAACAGTCTGAGCACACTTTCAAATCATTCACATCTCTGCTTTGTGCTTCAGTTCTTTCATTATCTTTTGAACATATGGAATGTGCTCCCAGCAACAATTTTAATGTCTTTTGAGACTAATTCTATCAAATAGGTAACTTCTAGGTCACTGTCAAGTGATTGAGTGTCCTCCTGATCACTATGAATGAAGTGGGCTTATTTATTTGTTTGTTTATTCATCTATATCTATCCTTCCTTCCTTCCTTCCTCCCACCCACCCATTCATCCCTGGCTGGCTTGAAACTCTCTAAGTAAACTAGGCTGGCCTTGAACTCACTGAGATCTACCTTGCTCTCTTTTCTTAGGCTTAAAGAACTATGCACCATACCCTGCTATTTCTAAATTTTTCTAAAGTTCTAGATCACTCTGATTTTTACTATATAGGGTGATAGACATGCTAGTCTAAAACTGCTGGAAGGGCATTATTTTTAATCAGTGCTCTTCTTCATTATTCTCATGGTTCTCTGGGGGCCATGCCACCTCCAAACTCTTGGAGTCCATTCCTTGGTTCTTCAACTTCCTCAGTGAATCTGCTTAGCAAGAATTTTAGTCCCAGAAGTAACCTCCACAAGGAGGGAAACACAACCCCTAGAAGAAAGCTTGAGCTCCTTGAAGAGACAGGTAATAGGTGTCTCCCTCCAGTCCATATGTAAGGCATTTTCTCCATTTCCATATAGCTCACTCATAGAGCGCAGGCGTCTCTAAGAGATATCAGCAGTGATTTAATACTCCCCACCCCATCACAGGCTGTTACGTCTGGAAAGCCGCATTTCCCACAGTGACATGCCATGCAGCACAAGCATTGCTAGCACTGAAACCAAGCAAGTCTCAGTGGCAAGAGAACTTCGCAAACCATGTACTTGGATCCCTACTTGAGACTCGAAACAAGGTTGTTATTCATATACTGACAACTCCATACTTCACATGAAATGTAATTGTGAAGGATGAAACTATTTTTTTTTTTTTGCAATCGTGGTCAGCAGTAGACTGACTCACTGGTGAGGAGGAGAAGACCATAGAAAGCTTCGTATGCTGTCATGGGTGAAATGTGAGTCGCTGAGTTACTCAACAGTTCTTCAGTCACTGAGCTGAAGGAAGTGTCAAGAGGGCTCTGTCAGTGTTTCAGCATGTGGGATTCATTACCCACTTGCTTGACTCTCTAGCTTTTTGTCTTTATTCTGGCCCCAGCTGCCTCCTTCACATCTGGTCTCCATTGTGAGAACTGCGTCAGCACATTTCTCTAAGAGGGTAAGAAAGGGGGAAACACGTGTGGGATGAGATATCAAATCAGTTGAGTTGCTTTTCGTGTCCAGAGTTGGCGATGAATGAGATGGGCAATTTATAAATAATGTATCCAATTGTTCTATATTCTCGTCTCCTGATTATTGACTATTTGAAGGGATCTTAAAATGTCTCTTTTGTTTGTATTCTATTTAAAGTTGTTATTTTATGAAGTTTTCCAGTTCCCATCATTTCCTTTTGCCTCTGAGATGTATTCTCAATGAAGCATGGACAGCATCCAAACTTCTGAGCTCTGGGGGACTTCATTTTATTTTTCATGTTGCTTATACAGTCTCTCCACCTCTAAGCCTGGGGGATATTTGTTTGGGAAGTTCATGAGCTGCCACTATTTAGGCTTATGATGCCGTATTTGTTTATCTTCAGACAGCTGTACTCACTTCAAGGTTGACCCATATTGA